CCGCTTGGCGATGTATATCTTCGAAAGAAAAGTTAAACCTTATATCTCGAATAACTGAAAATAAATAATGCAAATAAAGAAAATAAATTAAATAAATACAGAAAGATACCAGACAAACAATTAATTAATGTTTTATTATCTTTATACTCTTGTGACGTCACGATGCGCAGCAGCCAATCAGTGGCGCTGTTAGAAAATGAAATACATCGATCTGCTAATCGACACGAAAATAACTAGATCGATTGAAATATATTAATTGTAACGGTAGTCATATAATGTGTAATTAACTTGTATAAATTTCAATCAGTTTTTCATATTAATGGTCCATTTGTGTGTAGTATGTTTTCTGAAGTTATTTGTTTTAATTCTCACTAGATTCACATAAAAATCTGTCTTGATTCTGTGTCGATAATACTGGATTTGATACACTAATGGTAAGAAGACTGTAGTACAGGCATAAACGAAGTATGGAATAGAGGTCAGAAGCAGTATTTTTTCGTGAATACCGATGAAGGGCACAGACAATGCAGCGTGTAGACGTGTAAAGCAAAAGTTTTCCGTACTACTGACAAGGAATTCGTGAGCCCAGCGCCAAGGTGAAATCGAGTGGCTGGCGGTCGAGAATACAAACACAGCCTGGCCGAGCTTTCAGAACACAACAAGCGTATCGGATTACTGTCCCAGCCGTGCTAGCTATGGTAAGAATAAAACTATTTTAAACGAATATATTCACAAATCATTAAGAACATATTTCAATCGTCCAAGTTACCTATGAATATCATCTCCAATGTATTCTTTCGACCCATTTTTCTGGGTCTCTAGTGCACCATTACGAAGTGCATCGAATTTCGAAGGTATGCGTTTTCTAACAAAATAATTGTAATTGATCCCCAAAACCGAAAATAATTTTTCTAGAACGATTTGAAATGTTTTTTTTCGCCGAAAAATTTAGGCACCTAACCCCTGTCGATTTTTCTTTAACGAGTAGAGGACACTAAAACCATGGTAGTCAGTTTGGGGCCACGAAAGTCCATAAGGTGTAAGGTCTACTCGTATACCTCGTCTGTGATGTCATTGTCGGCTCTGTCGATTAACCGAACAAACGATCAATGTTTCAGCGACGTTATCGTTGCAAGATGTCCGAGGGTATTGCTGCGAAGACGAAGACTGACGCGAAAGGTTGGAAGCTGGTGCAAAAGGAGATCCAAGGATTAAACGGAAGGAGATACTGTAGGCGTTCGTCGCAACAAGAGGCGTTGTTGCCAACTCGCTTGTACTCGGTTAGAGCATGTAATACGCATCTCTTTTTGTTTACACTGGATTACACGGCTACCACGAAGCAGTGTAACCACTTTTTGCCGCGGTTAAAACAGTAGTTCAAGACGGATCGATTGGATCTGCCGGATAGTTGCATTCGCTTTCCCCGATAGGGTGGTGCAGTCGTCGATAAGGATACATGTTCGGACATCAATACTGATTCGCTGTAATCTCGACTGTAGGTACTCGAGGTTTACAGAAAACAGAGACGTTCGCGTGGACAGTGTAAAATAATTAACCTTCGTACATTTCTTATAGAGATTTTAAACGCTACTTCGAATACAATTCAATCTCCGAGTATATTTCCCTGCCAATGAGGTCGATTGGAAAGCATCGAAGATTACGAGGTAGTTCGTTCTTTATTCGATATTAGTATGAAGTACGCCTGGAGTTATGTCAATAACCGAATGTGTATTCGCAGAGATGGTATTTTGTTGGAAGTATGGCGGAGCGAAAGGTAGTTCCTCCGCGAGGACCGATCGGTGCAGTTTTCCCCAATCGCGAGAAGAAAGGTGTATCGTCATCGCAGGGTGGCCAATCCCCGGCCTGGTTCCCTCGAGCGAAGGGACGACGGCTGCGAGAAAAGGGCCGATAATTACCGGAGGGATGAAACGCATAGAGTCATTAACTATCCTGTCGGCTCGTTGCGGTTGTCCTCCGGTTCTTCGGACCCGGTCTGGCCGGTGCCTGTCGTAATTCTCCTGTCCAGGTACCTCTGTTCGTCAGCGGGAACGCGTCGCGTCCGCGTCTCCCGCAAACACCCGTGGCCGCTTATTATTTTGTTGATTTTGCTCGGCCGGTCGTTCGACTCTTCTCCAACCACGTCTCGGCCCGTTCAACCCGGGTCCTAATTATCCTCGAACGACCGGCCAATCAACGCACGAAACGACAGCTCTTCTTCCCTTGGTGAACGGGTGCCCGCGCTACCGACGCGATCCTCCATGAGGCCGCGCGCCTTTGGGGCGGCTCGTTTCGCTAAAATCTGCTGCGCCGCCCTAACTGTCCCCCTCTGCCTCGATAACTATTCCACGTCGCTCCTCCGATCGCTTCCTCGGTGGAAACTGCCGGCGAAGAATCAAAGGACGAGGGAACCGAACGGGCCGTTAACGGGCAATTTGAGAGAAACGGTTCGTTTAAATGTTAAAACAGTTTTCTCCCCGTTTCCGAGATGCCCGACGCGTAGCAGGAAGGATCGCGCGCGACGTGGATGGGAATCGTTTCCGGGGGTGGCACCCGGAAACTCGGAGGACAGAATTAACACTGTGGCACTCGATATTAGCAGCTTGTCGCTATTATCGAGACTTTCGACCCTTCGATAACCAGACATCGAGGTATCTTTAGCGTCGGATAGTATCGTAATTATATCGGTTCGAATCGCTGTGGATGGTTTGATCACGCGCATCGATAGAAACGTTGCTTTCGAGTTTGAGGCCTGAAAATTCGACTCAGATTTGGATCGTGTTCGGAGCGTAGGATTCCTCGAAACGGTAGGCCGTTTCCGAAACGAGCTCTCCATACGTAAGGTCTTCGGTTGTGGCACACGTGTGGCGGCGACCGCGTGGAAACACGAGACCGACAGAGGCGCAAACGCGAAGAGAGGCAGGACACGTTGACAGTAGGCGGTTTGGGTTCCGAGGAATTTGTGTCGTCGGGTAGCCAGATTTCTCTACCGTTTTCGAATTTACGCAGGCAAAGGATCCCCGCGTACGGGAAAGAAAATATATTTGACCGTCTGTTGTCGTGAAACTTGGAGCCTGCCGGAAGTTAAACGCTTCGAGTACCACTCGAGTTTGTTGTCCGAGGAAAATGGAGTACTCTTTGGGATAGAATAAACAACGGAAAGATGTCTTTTGTTTTTAGTCTGCACTTTTGATAATGGTTAGATGACAGTTTCGTTTCACCCCGTGAAAGTTGATCGAGACTCGCGGAGCCATTTAAAATCTCGGCGTGGAAGCCGTTGAAAGAATCCGTCGGGTCGATTGTCCGGTGTAAACAACACCATCGGGATCCACTAATCGTCCCAATCACCGGACACGAGCTCGTCTATATATCCTTGACGGATAGTTTCTCCCCCTGGAATAGTTTCGTCCTGCCCGTTGCGTCGGGCGCGTACTCCCTTCCCCTTGGAATGCGCGTCCGCCTCGTACGCCTTCGCGTCCGAAGGGACGGTAGAAGGAGCCGAAAGGATCGGAGGTGGGAGTCAGGGACGGCTGGTGCTAGTTGAGTTGTCGAGCTGACACGCGTTCTCCGTCCCGTTCCAACCTCCGTCCCAGAGAATCCTCTCTGTCCGACCCATGTCCCCACTAACTCCTTCCCTGGACGGTCCTCGTCGCTGGATTCTTCCCACCATTTCGTCCCGAGATCTACTCGAGCCCTCACGATCTCCCTCCCTCGTATTTACCGTCGACCCCCTCGCTTCCTTCTTTCCTCGTTGCTCGTGGAACATCGGCAGGGGCGTTCGTCGTTCGTCTATCGCGCTCCCTCTCTCTCTCGATCATGAGTTTTCCAGCATAAACGATCCTCGTCGCACGCACGCCCACCCGAGAACGCACGACCGCAGCCAGCAACGTTCTCGTCCTCCGTTCGTCGACGCTCGTGCTGCCGCTGCTGGTGCCGGTGGTGGTGGTAGTTGTGGTGGTGGACTCTCAGTACCGCCATACCCGCCAAAGCACGAGCACCGGTGATAGCCCCGCACATGCGTCTCGTCCCGCGGATTTTTCAAACCCGCAACCCCCGACACCGATCGAACCCTCGAGAGTGGCTTCTCTCCACCCTCGTGAAATTTTTTATAGCCGATCGACCGAGGTGGACTCGTTTCGCGGTGACGATCGTCGCGAGGAGTATCGTCGTCGGTACGCGTAGGAGTGGTTGCAGTTCGGGGTGGTGGACGGTGCGACGTTGATCTGTTGTGGTGCGCGTGTCATGGTGCGACGCGTGAAGATATCGGGACTGTCCGATGGTGAAGGGGATCCTGGAGCGGTTCTCCGATGACTCAGTGGAAAGTATCAGTGGACAGTTCGGTGGGGTTTCGTTTCTCACCGACTCTTGACAACTCGTTAATCCTACCGTCGAATCGCCGGTTACGCCGCGAGCCGATAGATGATCGTCAGGACTAGAGTCGTTCGCGGACGGTGGGCTTAGGTTATTCGGTTTATTTTAAGACACCCTCGAGGAATCGGCCGACATCGTCGGCTGCTCCGAATCATCCTAGTGACGGTTCTCGAAACGAGCCAACGATTAACGCGAATCACGGAATCAAACGAGAACGAGCCTTATCGCCGAAACAACAAGAACGGAGGAACAGTCTTCCCGAAGAGCCCATCAGGATTGGTTCTCGCCAAGCCGCCGACGGGTTCACCGTCGGAAACCAGAGTCCCATAGGAGCCGATCCCGCCACCGACGACGAAGATGTAGACGTCGAGTGTCTGGATAGCTCGGAGACACCGTCAGCTTCCAGCTGGAACGTAGCACGGTCGAAGAACGTTACCGTCGAAACGATCGGCGGACGCTGTTCGTCGAACGGTGACGATCTGGCCTGTTCACGAGCGGACTATGCTATCGTGGATCAAAAGTCGTTCGCATCGTCGGGCACGGGGTGTCAGACAGGACGATCTCCTTTGATCCTGGACGAGGAGGCCGCCAGCTCTTTGGCCCAGTACCTGGCCCTGGCTAACAGTTACAAAATGCCGGAAAAGGAGGTCGCCTATCATCAGGAGGCGTTCTCCCTGTTGCCGCCACCGCCGCCTCCGCATCATCCGCACTCCGCCTTCCACGCAGCGTTTCATCCGCACCCGCATCCTCATCCGCCGCCGCCATTTCATCCTCACCATGGACCTCCGCCTCCGCCGCACCCCGCGGCTGCAGCTGCCGCCGCCTGGGAGCATCACGCGGCCGCCGCAGCCGCAGCAGCCGCCGCAGCCTTCCACGCGCCGCCCCCTCATCCGTAAGTTTACATTTTTATCATTATGGAGTATCCTCAACGATCATCAAAACGGCTGCAACTAGCCAACAGAAAGGGAATGATCTTCCACCAAAACAATAAGAAACTCCTTAAATCAAGTTTAGAATCGCGTTTGATGCGTATTGATATAAAGTGGAGCAGACAATGACTTGGCATAAATATAATTATATATCGATCATGAGATCGCTGAATGCAAAATCACTGATAACTCGTACGACTGCTACTACTCCAATTTTTGAATCGATCGAGGTTGTAAGCTCTTCGCGAATTTCGGAGTAAATTAATTTTTACGTCCCTAGAAAATCGCTTAGGATGCTCCATCATTCTATACATCTGCATGTAGCTCTAATTTTCGATTGTCTGATCTAATAATTTATCGTAATAATCATTCTCACATCTTTTCCGTTTAATGTTTGCTTCTTGGAGTATACTCCAAAATATCTCTTGTTTTCGTCCCATTTACGTAACAGCCACGAGCAAGAGCAATGATAAAGCAATTTTACTCGTCTCCGATTGAAAATTGGCCTTTCAAATAGTTTCGACACGGTATGAAACTAGAAACAGACCCAAAACGAGTGTTACGTGCCTGTCTAGATTACATTCGCGCAACCCCTCGGGCTAAATCGTCCGTCGGAACATCCTTCGTTGAACTTTGCATGGTGCTATTCCCGCTGTCTGTCGCTGTTCCGTTGAACCAGTCTCGTAAAACGCGGCGAAGAACTGCGACCGACAGATATCGCGAACTTAGTTTTAGGCATCGATTATGTAGATACGTGCTACGCGAAACGCGAATACAAAGTAGGAAGACCGTAAAGTGCACCTGATCGTAAGGGAAGCTAGCAAGGTGGCAAGGCAAAATGGTTCGATTAGAAATATTTTGTTTCTCGTCTGTTGAAACGATCCAAGGATGCCAAGGATAAAAAAATGTAGTCACCATATTTCGTAATTTTCTTAATCCGACTAATCTTTATTCGACGCGCGGTACCGTTTTGCGCGAGCGGCAATATGGTTGGCGATCATCTGCTGTTAAGGGATGGTCCGCTAGCGCGAAGCAATCTTTATCATCGCGTCTCGGTAAAGATTTCTCCGCGCAAACGATAATCGCGTAACAATGTAATAAATTGAAAGACGTAACTGGACGTTTGCACGCGAATGCTTCCACGGCATTCGTTGGCGCAGTCTGTTCGGTAGTTAACGCGATATTTAATTCAATTACACATCCGCCGCAGCATTTTAACCCGAGACGCGCACAGAAGCCGGCTCGGCGTGGCGTCCGACGATTCCTTGACGCGCGAACGTGCGTCGAATGAAAGTTAACGAGGCAAAGCTTAATGGCGATCTCCTTGCGGATTTCATTCGCCTCGTACCCCCTTAATCATCGCCTACGGTCGCGCGCTTATCTATTAACACATCGGTTTGATTCATGAGCCTTAATTACTCGTAATGAAACTTGCCGAGTGCGAGGTCACTCGGAACCGTCTTTCTTAAGTTTCCTCGCGGATCGCGATAGGATCGTTCCGTGCCGACGAAAATCGCGATGAAAGCGTTTTCCGCCGCAAACCTAGAGGGGGAGAATGGTTTCTCGGTGGTGAGAAGCTCGCGTCGCGAGAGAAAGGGGGCTTAACGTCTTAATCGAGTTCGTTAAGGCTCCTTCGCACGTTTTCACGTTCCGCAAACACGACACGCTATTGCACGCAACGAGATTACCTCGACGACTTGTTAAGGCTAGCCTGACGGGCTCGCGGAAACGTTCCACCAACGACCGACGCCGGGGATAATTAGACGTTTCTAAACGACGTCCTTAACCCTTCTCATGCCCGATACACGAACCTCGTCGATAGAATTCCCTGAAACTTCTACTATCGTTTGGAATTCGACGCGTGGGAGCGCGTATCTCGAATTCGATTCCTCTTATTTGTCCATCCGATGAACAACCCTTTGGGGGGTATTGAAAATAGAAAATATAAGATGTTCCACCGAAATTGTTGAATCTGAGATTTGGATAAACTCTATCAAGAGAGGTTAAAAAACTGCACATACTTTTATCGAATCTCTTCAAGTTAGAATATATATTCGCGCGATTACATCGATCATACTCAACGTAAATTACCAACAGCTAATATTTTCGCATCCTGACACTTTAAATATAGAATCTGACACCTGTCCAACTGTAAGTTTTTGTATGCCTGACATACTCGTCGTACATGAATGTACTTACAGGCATCTTTTACATTAAATATCATTGGTTCTGCCATCGTGTATCTGCCCGTCCACTATTTTAAAACCCTGATCGCCAGAGATGCCTTCGACGGTTAATAGTATTCCGAAACAGCTCCGTTCGATAAATCCTGAACATTTTTACACCTTGTTTTTCTAAAAATGCATTGCTTCTTTATTTGAATTGCGTCGATGCTCCGATACGGAAGTCGCGAGGAAATACGAGTCCCGATCGAGCAGCGACGGGAGGCGTAAAATTCACGATCCGCGTCGGGCGGAGTTTCCCGTCGACTTCCTCCGCGGATATTTTCGTCTGTTTGCGAGGATGCGAGAGCCGTGCGATTTATTTTTGCCTTCGGCGTGTGTTTTGCCCCGTCATGGACGAGACGGCATCGTCCATTTCGTTCTCCGTGACGAGGCTCGATCCAAATGTCCAGCGGACTGGGTCTTGGTTGAAAATCAACGTCGACGTTTCTTCCTGCCTCGTTCCGTCGAGTAGAAATATTTAGAAATATTTATATAATGATTAAAAGGGACGCATACGCGAGATGTTGTGATTTCGAGTCTATTGGGTGCTCGTGTTTCAATTTTCTAATTACGTAGGTACAACGGTTTATCGTTAGTTGCAAACTTTATGGCCAGTGCCTACTGGAACATCGTTTTCAAGAGTTGATATCGAGACTCGCTAGCGAACGCGCTAACGAGAAGGTAACATTTATTTTTTCACACGAACGCGCAGAAACCGATTTTACGAGATAAGGTCCAGCACGAAGGCTCTTCCGTTTTCTCGTGCGATGTTCTTATTCCCGTTTGTTAAAACACTAAAATCCTTAACAATTTTTTACAACCGCAGCCCCAATCCTTTCCTTCAAAGATCACCGACGTCGCGAGATCTATCGATCCTCTGTAGCCAATTGCAGTAAGTACAGTCGACTGTGTTATTATCCCACGCGATGCACAATCGTAGAACCACTTTTTTCACGAGCCACGAGTCGTTCGAGTCTCCTTAAGGGGTTAGTACATCCTCGTATGGAAAAAGAACCCATACCATAAAAATGTTCACGAGAAAACTCTGCGCTTTGACATTTTTTAGTGCTCGCCACAACTTCCAATAAATTCTTATTTAAGAGTCTCTTCTGACCCACGCGTGAAAGCTCGTTCTTTAAGAATGCGTTTCTAATATGTGAAAGTAAAGAAAAAAAAGTTGCAAAATGAAATGAAATTTTTTAGCCAACGAGGATATCCTTTTAACGCGAGTGTCGTTTTATGGATAAACAATTCCCCCATATATTCGTCGTAACTACTCATAGTTGAATGGGCGTGCGTTGAACGGTCCGACGACGATTCATTCCGGGACACGACAGGCCAATGATATTTGCATTTTCTGGCACAATCACGCCGTTACTCATTACCCGGGGCTCGTTGCTCGTCGACAGCGTCCAAGGAACTCTGCGCGGACACTTCCTGCGGACCGGTGAATGCGATCCAAGTGCTCTTGCCGATTGCAAATGCCGGACGGCCATCGTTTCCCTAGCAAACGCTCGCCGTGTAACACTCGCCGTGCTGTCTGCGAACACGTTATGTCCGTTGCACGCCGCAATACCTATGATTTAAGCGTTCGTTAACGCCGTGCCTCGTTCCGAGAAAAATGATGAATCGCGCGGCGTGGGTGAATCGATTTTAGAAGATCCTGGATTCCGTGCGCGCTGCGTTTCTTCCTCGATCCTGCCAAAGTCCCGGACAAATTGCTTTAAAATTATTCTCAGTATTTTTGCGCGTCTTATTTGGGACGCGAAACAACCGATGAAGTTTCTTCGGAGCTAAAACGCCCACGCTGCTTTACTTCTAATTTACAAAGGCATTGTAAAGCGAGATTAACTTTGCCAAATTGCTGATCCGAAGCTAGTATACCGATGGGCTTTATTATGCCCGTTAAATCTGTTCGTGGAATTTTTCGCGCGTAGACGCGAGGAGAAGATGGCGGTGCGGATAGTCGGGTGGATTCATCTCGATACTTCCTGGATCGCGCGCGATCCATTAAAAGCCAAACAAGTTTCGTTTACAGCTTCGTTCCGTCGTGTTCTCGCGAACGAGCGAAAAATCGCGCAGGCCATTACGATTCCCCGCGCGAAAGAACTTGCTCCTCGAGCACGAAACCGAACGCATTTCCCCGGCCATCGAAGCCTGTTCTCCGCGCGCGATCCGACCGAAAACCCTAAATAATTGAACCGTGCCCCGGCCAGGGGACCCCCGCAATCGGTTCGAGCATCGACATCGAAACCTCTCCTCGTCGCACCTTTCCGTCGAGCGTATTTCCAGCTCTCGGACCGAAGAAAAAGAGCAGCGAAAAAATCCCGAATCGATTCCCCCCTTATCCGTGGTCGAACGCGAGCATGGAAGCTCCAGATTCCCGGAGAACTCGAGCACCGGATCGGTCGTAACGTCAGGTAAATCGGGTACCTGGTCGTCCTTAGGAATTTTTATCGCGACCTGGCCCCACGCACCGCTCGTGGGAGGAAAATCTGGTCCCGCGCAGACAATGAACGCGCGATCGTCGCCTCTCCCGTTTACGAATCTCTCGATCGCGTGGGCCCCCAATGTCCGACGACCAGCGGAGAAACAAACGCGCTACCAGAACCGCGATTTTCTTATCGGCGACTCTACGAGGACGTTCTCGTCTCGATCTTGCAGCGTCGCGGGCATTTTAACGAGATCTGTTTTTCTCGTTTCGCTTCCCAAGAAACCCGAGAGAGGTACGATTACGT